AGAGGGACCGGCCCGGGGGTGCAGGGTCTGGGTTCACCTGGGGGAACAGGAGCTGCTGGGGAGGGGGCAAATCTCCCTGCTGCCCCCGGCTCCGATTCCCCCCAGGACCCGGGAAAATCATGGTGCAGCGCGAACATTTCCCTCTTGCAGCATTTCTTCCTGACCCCCATACCGCAGGCAGAGCCTGCCCTGAAGCATGCAGCTGCCTGGCTCCTGGACCGTTCCTAACGACGTGGTTGCTCACAGCGCTGGCTGTAGCGGCAATGTGGAGTCACCAATGCATCCCCTTTCTGGGACAGGGGCCTCTGCAGACCCCTGGTCATGCGCGGGCACCGGTGCCAGCTTGGCCACGCTCAGCTCGGGCAGGAGCCGCGTGTGCCAGCCCTGCTGTCGCAGCTGCTGCACTGTTGCAGCGATGCAGCGCCCGGAGGTCACGCCAATGCCTGGTGCCCGGGGAGCGAGGCGGGCGGGGGTGCCCCGCATTCATCCTGGCCTTTCTTTGGGCGGCGGTGGCGGTATCGGAAAGCCATCCATTTGCCTTGCAGAGGCTGTCACGGGCCTGCTTCCCACCTCAAACGAAACCGTCACTCACCGCAGCTTTCCCGGACCCTAATTTATGGCCCCGATATTGGCTCACCGGCCGCGCGGAGCCTGACAAATGAGCTCCTTTTATTCCTTGGCTGAGTTCATTTAACTTTGTTGTCTGGGCGGCTTGGCCGGGGGTAGGAGTTTGGGTCCTGCATCCCCCCCCACCGCCGCCGGCATCTCCTCGAAGCAAAGCCTCGTTGCTCCCTGCAACGTTGCAGCTTCCCGGTCCCGGGACAGCTCAGGCGTCCCGCACAGAGCCCAGCAGCCCTGCTGTGGGCTGCTCCATCACGCCGCGGCTGGGGTGGGGGGTCTGGACCCAGCCAGGTGGCACCAGGCAGGGTGAGGGGGTCTCTGTTTCCCACAGGCTCCTCTGTGCACAAGAATGGGGCTCGGGGGGTTGCCGCTGCACCCATCCGCCTTCGCCGCCGGCACGCTCCCTGGGTGCAGAATCGGGGCCCTTGCGCTGAGCAGGGGCTGCAGACACGGGATACTGCTCTCCTGGGACGTCCCAGTCCCACCCTCCCTTGCATCACAAGGGGAGTGAGTTTGCTGGGGCTCAGCCCAGGTCCAGGGACCACCCCCCGCCTCCCTGCTGGCCCCAGACCCGAGCCGGGAGCCTCATCTCTGCCTCGGATGCTGCACGGACCCCAGGCGAGTGACGGCGGGGGGCAGTGGGGTGCAGCTCTGGGGCCGGCCCCTGCCCGGGGCTTTCAGGTCGGAGGAGATGGCTGACCCCCGCCCCGCACGCACACATGAAAATGGGCTGTCATTAATCTCGGGGGCGTCTCGGAGCGGCGGGGGCCTGCGGGGACAAAGGGACCTGTCGGGGCCCCGCAGAGTGATGGCTCCCTGCGCCGGGCTGGAGAGGCGCACAAAAGCCCATTCAGGAGGCGCAGCCATTGTGGGCCGACAATTAGCTCCGGCGTGATGGATGGAGGGGAATTATCGGCAGGGTCGGGAATGGCTGCGGGGGGGATGCAAAGCCCGGGGGAGGCCGGATCCTTCCATCCCATCCTGTGCCCGGCCCGGGGCACAGCCGCGTACAGGGTGCCATGGGGTTGCCATCCCCGAGCTGTGTCAAGGGGGTGGCAGCTGGCACCTGGGTGCATCCACTGAGGGCAGCTTTGCACCCACCCCACTGACCTCAGCACCCTAGCAGGCGCTGGATGCCCGCAGGAGGCTTGCTGGGAGCCCCTGGCAGCCAAGCACCCCGTTCCACCTCGTCACTCCTCCCTGCTCCACCCCAGAGGCAGCTGCATTGCTGCAGATTCGGAGCCTCCCCCTGCCCTGCCAGCCATGGCACGGACCCCCCTGGCCGGCATGCACCCCCTCCCACGTCGTGGGGGGCGGCACAGGGGTCGTGGCTTCGCAGGGCTTGGGGGAGGCAGCGGGTGGCTGGCACGAGGGCCCATTTCTCAGCGCGGCTCATCTCGGCGCCCCGCTGACAGATGGAAGGGGCTTAATTGCTCCGACAAGCAGCGAGCGGGACGCGGCGGCGGGTTCATTAGGGCTGACAGCGGGCGCATCAATCCGCCGTGGCCTCTGGGGGGGTCTGAAGGCCCAGTCCTCTGGTGCGGGGGGGCCTGCGAGGAACGGCCCCCGCGGCTTGGCTTAGCCCCTCACGGCCCCCCATCAGCACCGAGCCCCCTCTTCGTCGGCTCCCCGTCTGGCTACGTTGGGCCCCGTGTGCACGTGCACGCAACCTGGGTGCACACGGGAGTCCTTTCTAGTGGGGAAACGGAGCCGGGCGTGCAAGCCAATCCAGCTGCCCGTGTCCCTGCCCCCCCCCCTCCCCCCCAGCGCCCGGCAGCTGGTGATGGATGGCACCGGGGTCAAAGGGCACCGTCGGGGTCATGACCTGCTCAGACCTAACGAGGCAGCGCGGCCCAAGCTCACTTTCAAGCTTGCGGGTGGGGAGCTGGGGGGGCTGCCCTGTTGAGGGGGCTGCGCCTGTGAGCCAGGACCCCCCCCCCGTGCCCACGGGGGCTTCGGGCACATGTGTGCCCCCTGCCACCCCCTCGCCAGGACATGGGAGCAACACGCAGTCGGCTGGGTGGGGACCGGGGGGGCTCACCCACGTCTGTAGTTCACAACGAGGTGATGGATGGAGCTGGGTTGTGCACAGATGCGCACACACATGGGTGTCGTCCCCACCCCACATGGGGTGCACACATACCACATGAACATGCCCACACGCTCTGCTCCCCCATGCGCACACATGCACAAATGCACATTCACACGCACACTGCTCCTCCATAGACACACACCACACACGTGCACACACATACGTCCTCTGCTCCCCTATACACACATACACACACATACACATCCCCCACATATGCACACACATTTCTTCACATGCACAACACAATTTACACGCACACATACACACCCACACCTACAACACTGAACACACACACATGCACACACTGCTCCCCCATACACAAACACACTGGTCCCTCATACATGTACCACATGTGTGCACACATATATACACAAATGCACATACACATACACACACACTGCTCCCCCAGACACACACACACTCACACACTGATCCCCCAAATACACACACCACACACACACGTATACGCACACATACATGCTCTGCTCCCAACACACACACATGCACACACACAAACACATGTCCCCCATATACACTCATACACATTCTTTCACGTGCACAACACAATTTACACACATACACATACCTACACCTACAATACTGCACACACACACATGCACACACATGCTGCTTCCCCATATACACTAATATGCACAAGATAATGGATGAGATTTAAATAATTCCTCCCCAACATGCCTATAACACCCACCACACATGCGCGCGCGCACACACGCACACACACATTCCCTCATTTCCACAAACACACGTGCACATTCTCTTACAGGCAAAGAAAGAGAAGCAAAACCCCTGACACACTCCCCTAGGCAACAGGCAGACATAGTCACCCAGGCGTGGCCCACACACCAGAGCACACCCCCACATCATGCACACACACAGCCAGACACCCCCCCACATGCAGCCAGACACCACTCACATACCTAACTCCCAACCACACACCCATCCCCACAAACGCCCCTGTGCCCTGCCTCCCCCGCAGACTCTACACACCCTCCTAGAAACACATGTGACCTCTGCCCCTCCACACCCAGGTGTACAAACACACATGCACATGGGCGGGCAGAGGAACGCCCCCACTGGGTCACCCATTCAGAGTCACACGTGCACGCTGTCTCGCTCGGGTATCCCCACTCCAGAGAGGCACAGCACCTCTCTCCCCTGCATGCATGTGTGCATGCACACCTATGCGTGCGTGCGTGCGCACGCACACACACGAGCCGGGGCGGAGACACAAGGTCAAGCAATAAAAACTTTCAAGGTAAACATTGACATTCCTCCGCCCGGCTCCCACGCAGGGCTCCGGCTGCTGCTTCCGCTGCCCTCTCCCAGCCGCACCCCGCACGCGGCTCCGCAACCGGGGGCGAGAGATCTTCTTTGTCTCTGGACCGCAGCCACCTCTGGGGTGGAACGGCAGTCTTTACGATGCTACACAAGTGGCGATTTTTCGTGATTTTTCACAACGTCTACGTGAACGATTCGCAACGTGTACAAGCGCCCTAAGGCTGCAACGAGGCTCGCTGCCCACCCGAACCTGGCAGAAAACAAGCAGCCCTGGGAGGAACGTATCAGCTAGCACGGCCTTAAGCTACGCTGTGGCTGAGACACGGAGAAGTGCCTATAACCTGGGAGCATCACCCTAGCCCCAAAAAGGTCGCTCCTCCAAGCATCAGCTAGGCTTGTTCCTGCTGCGCTTGGGAGGGAGAACAGGTACAGAGGGGTTACCTGTGACCTAGTGCTCCACTGCACCCCCGGCTCCTTTCTCTGTGCACTTACAAGTGCACACGCATGCAGCACCCCAGCCACATGCTGAGTCCCCTCCCTGCCATGCTGAGGCCACCGCAGCCCGGTCTTTTCAACCAGGGAGCCACGGTTGCCCATGCCTGGCATGCCCCAGAGCCTGGCACAGCCCCCAGCCCTGAGCCAGGGGCCTGCCCAGATGCCTGGTAAAGGGGCTGTAGCCGGGCAGGCTCCATTTCACCACCCCTGGGAGGCAGCTCCTGCTTTGAGGCTGTTTCACACTTGGGCATCTTCAAAGCCCCTGGGCAGGTCCTGCTCCCCTCCCACTGCAAGGAGGGGGCCTGCGGGAGCAGGAAGAACCAGTTTCATGGCCCAGCGCTTGGATAAATATTGCTACAAAGGAGGGTCATAAATCCCCTGCGCCTCGCCAAGCCCCCTCCGCCGGCCAGCAGCTGCTCTGTCTGCCCCCAGCCCAGCCCCCAGCCCCAGCTTTGCCCCCCGTTGTGTGCCACATGCTCCCTCCCCCCTGCTGCCATGCCCAGGGAGGAGTATCCACCCCCTGGCCGGCTCCACGTGCTCCCCGTGCCCACGCCGACCTCCCAGTGCTGGAACAGACCTGGAGCAACAGATGCTTTGTGTAGGTCCTACACAAACGACCGCCCTCAATACATCTGCTCCCAGGACAACAGCCGTGCATGGACCTTTCCAGAGCCCTTCACAGGAGAGTGAACCGGGCTGAAATGCAGCCACCTCTGGGGTGGAACGCGGCAGGCGCAGCAGCTTCGGCCAGGATGCGTGACTCCGGGCACGCGGCCAGGACACGGGCACGAAGCCCCCAAGAGCTGGGGTTTCAGGATCCGGGGTTGGGGGAGCAGAGACAACACTGTCCAGCACAAAGCCTGGCGCAAGCAGAGAGGCTGCTGGGTAATTAGCATCCAGCGTTGGAGTTAATTAGCTCTGGAGAGAGAGATAACGAACCTGCACAGCTGCCCCTGTGTCTTGTCTCTCCCCTGTGATGGCCAACCCCTGCGTGACACGAGTCTGCCGGGTCTCGGCCGCAGCCCAGGCACCCTCCTGGCAGAGAGCAAGCACCAAAGGGGATGTGTGTGTGTGTGGGGGGGTATGGTGGGGGGGGGGATGTATAGGCAGATGTGGCAGGGGGGGGGGTTGTGGGGGTGTGGGGGGGGGGGGGGGTGATACCCCCCCCCAGCAGAGCAGGCCCCTCCGCCCGCCCTGCAAGCCCGCCTGGCCTTTCCCCGTTAATTAGCAAAGCATTAACCTCTGCCTGGGGTTGATGCGCTATCGAGCGGCGTGTTCATTAATCCAGATGCTGGCAAAGAGCCCTAATTAATCCGGCCCCGTACGCGGGGGCCCGTAATTGTTCCCGGCCGGCTGGGGAGGGGGGAGAGAGGGCAAAGGTTAAAGCATTTATCGAGTCCCCGCGATTGCGGCAGCGGCCTGGTTTCCCCGCTGGGGGCTGATAACACGGCCGCACTGATTTCCGATGAGGGGGCAGCTGTCCGTCAGGGACGGCGCAGCCCCCCCGGCCTCCCGGCGCGGCTGGGACGTGACTCCGAGCTCCCAACCGCAGCCCCCTCTTATCCCAGCCCTCGTTGCACCGGTTAGAGCAGAGCCAGCATCCCCAGAGCACCCTCATTTTAGCCCGCGGGCCAGAGCCTGGAGACGGACGCTGGCGGCGCTGCGGCACCCCAGGCTGCTCCCCCTTGCCCGTACCTCGCTTCTGCATGAAGCCGAAGAGGTCGTCCAGGAACTCCTTTCGCTTGGGGTCGTCGTCCAGCTCGTACAGCTGCAGGGGAGAGAGGAACAGGGGTCAGCCTGGCGGGGCCGGGCACGGGGGATAGGGGAAGGCGCTTTCTGCTGCACGCCCTGTGCCCTCCACTGCCAGCGGGGAGTCTCCGAGTGCTGACACGGGTCTGGGCTTGAGCCCCTCCAGCGGAGAAGGGCTGTGAGCCCAGGCAGGACTCCAGCTTCTTGGGCAAGTGCCCAGGGCTGCAGCTTCCTGCCCCATCCGCCTCCCTGGTGCCCGAGTCTGCCTCCCCCATCGCCCAGCGCTGACCCTGGCTTGGATTCCCCGCTGGCTGCATCGAGACCACAGCACCGGGACCTCAGCGCCCGCCCAGGTGCCCATCCCTGCTCTTGGACCTGGGCTGTGGCGCTCACTCCCTACCACTGCAGCCTGTGCTGTCTCCAGCGCCCGGTGCCCCGGCACCTGCTGCCCGTGGAGAATCTGTCACGGTGCTAAAGCGTGGCCAGCATCCAGCTCACCGCTGGCCTGGCAGCCAGCCCGACGCTGGTGCCGTGCCAGCCCTTTGAATGCCCTGCCGTAGGGCGCCAGGGCACCATGCCATGCTCAGGGCAGCTCCTGTGCTCCCAGCTGCAGGCTGGCGAAAGGCTTAGATACCCCCGAGGTGCTCAGACACCCCAGCACGGGGGAGGCTAGACAGAGAGACAGGCAGGCTGTGAGGACAGATGGGAAGGGACATACCTTGGGTGTATGGGGGTGGACAGAGAGAAGGGCTGGACCTGCAGACAGACAGGTGGATGGGTGAGCTGTATGATAATAACAGATGAGCGGATGGATGGGTGGATGGACGGACAGACACAGACTCCCCTTCTCTTTCCCACATCCCAGGAGACAGGGGATTTTTCAGAGTCGCGACCCCGAGCCACCCACCCCGAACGTCACGGTGCAGCATCACAACAGGAAGACAGAGCCCAAGCAATTGTGGGCACAGCTGTCATGACACGGGGACACGGCAGCCACAGGAAAGGGACCTTGTCATGTCCTCGTGTGGCCACCACGGAGCAGGAGCAAAGCCGTACCCTGCCGTCACATCATGTCATGACATGAGGCATGATTGTCACGACAGGGTTTGCAGCTATTGTGACATGGGGAGTCTAGCTCAGCTTGGACATGCATGTAGCCATCCTCACGTCCCAGGGCAGCTATTGTGAGGTGAACCCCCAACTTTTGTGTCACGGGGTACCACTATCATGATATAAGCCACAGTGATCGTGACACACACCTATTATGCCACATTGTGACTATCGCCACATGGACAGCAAGGGCCATGCCTATACCATGCTATGACATGACCATCACGGCATGGCACCGTGGCATGCACCCATTGCAATGTGTCATAGCAGGAGGTGCTGTCATGACATGATGCTGCTATCATGCTGTTAACTGGGCGCATCAGATGATGACATGTGGCTATCGTGGCATAGTACTACTGTCACGACATGGCACGGCTATCACGCAGTGGCTGACCAATCATGACGTGAGCCGGTAACGTGTGGCTATCATGGCATCTCATTGTTGTCATGACATGGCACTGTTATCATGACCCAGGCTGCACCAATCACGCCATGCACCCATTGCAACATGCATCTATCATGCTCATTGCCACTGTCATGACATGGGGGCTGCTGTCATGATAATGGGCTGTGGCAATCATGCCATGTGCCTGCTACGGCATGTGGCTATTGCGCCATGGGCAGTGATATCATAACATGGGGCTGTGACAACCGCAAGGTGGGGGCACGACTGCTGTGCTTGGCCACCCGCATGCTCTGGGGCAGCCTCCACATCACAGGGACACAAGTGTCATCCCCAGAGGGCAAAGGACAAGCCAAACCCCACGCAGCGAGATCACTGAGCTCCGTGCCCGTCCATCAGCCACCCCAAAAGCCCCAGCCCAGCCGATGCTGCCTCTGCCTGGGGCTCCTGGCAGCTGGGCTGTTTGCTCAGCGGGGTCAGAGCCCTTTGCTAAGGCCCGGTGCCAGCCAGGCTGCTGACACCGTCTGGCAGGGAAGGCTGCCCTGGGTACACACACGGGGAATCCCCCAACAGGGCTGAGAAAGGGTCTGGCCAGGAGCTGGGTGTCGGGCCCGGCTGGCAGAGAGCACGGGGCTTCCCATGGGAAGCTGTGACGCTCCGATCCCTCGGGAACCTACAGATCAGGGTAGCCCTGTGCTGGGACTGCGTCTGCAAAGGCAGGGGACGAGTTTGCTGTCCATACGCCGAGCTGTTGGGGAGCTGTGGAGCGGCCTTGTTCCTCCCCAGAGGTGGCTGCATGCCAGGGGAGTGGAGCAAGGGGGTCTCTGGGCACACACGGTGCTTGGAAAAGTACCCCAGCACCAGCAGGAGGGACCAGAGCAGCGTCCAGCTTGGACCCCTCTGAGTAATGAAGGAACGAATCCCCCCACTGCCGGGGTGGGTTAGGGTTAGGGTTAGGGTCCTTCCTCCCAGACCTCTCCGGACAGGGTGAACAGCACCTCTGCCATCAAGGCGCTGAGCGCTTTCCTGAGGGGTCCCTTCCTTTCACCCCAACCATCCTGCTGCAGCTCTTCCCCACAGCATGGAGCTGCTTCATCATTTCAAGACATGATTTGATGCCCCGGTGTCGTGCTGTCCTGCTCCCTACAGTGCCATCTGCCCAACCAGGCCCTGCCAGCCTCCCCCCACACCTGAGCTCTGGAGGAGCCTGCACATCTGGCACTGCTGCGGAGTGTGTGCACAGCTGGATGGCGGCAGAGGCATCATTGCGGGTAGGGGGCACTGCAGCCAAGGGTAGGGAGCTGTGGGGCACAAGTCGAGGTACCGGCACGGGGATTTCGGAGCCAGGGCATGGGGCCAGCCAGAAAGGGAGCAGGCGGAGAAGCTGGCTGGGGAAAGAAGGGGGATGGCAGAATCACGGGGTAGCTGGGCTGCCGGGCCCCTCCGGAGGTCACATGTAGTGCAAGCCCCGGCCTGAGGCAGGACCAGCCCTGTCCAAACCATCCCAGGCACATCCTTGTCTGACCTGTTCCTAAAACGACACCGTCACCCCACGGCACAGCTACCAGGCCCACTGCCCAGGGACACCAAGACCCCCAAACCTGCCCCAGGTAAAGCCAGGGGATGAAGGCATCAGTGTCCTGCTGTTGCATGGGGGGTTAACATACACTCCAGAGACCCCAGATAGAAGTCGTGCCCCCAGTACAGAGGAAGGCAAATCCCCCAGTCTGGACCAGTCTGACCAGGGGGGGAAATCCCTTCTTGTCCCCAGTGCAGCATTGGGCTGAGCCTGAGCACGGGGGCAAGACCCTCCAGCCAGGCCCCTGCGGGGTTGGTGCCAGCAGGAGCATTGGCACAGCCCAGCCCCAGCCCCAGCCTGGGCTGCAGCAGCACCAGCACCTCTGGGGGAGGCTTAAACCCTCCCCATGTAGCAGCAAGAGGGGAAAATAATTCCTTCCTGACCCCACGTGGCAAACAGCAAAGCCCAGAAACCGGGGAAGCACCAGGAACCCTCCACCTTGCCCTGCAGCCCGGGACAGCAAGCAGAGCCCACCCCTCACCCCCTAACTGCCCAGCCAGAGCTCCCCCGGCTCTGCCCCTCCGTGACCTTGTCCCAGAGGCTGTGACCTTCTGGCACGACGAAGCCGGCGGTGGAGCTCTGCTCCCTTCTCCTGCTGCTGAGCATGGTCCTCTCCCCAGACTGCCCAGGGAAGGGGGGACTCGCCCGCGCTGGAGGTGTCCAGGAGAGGTTGGGCAGCCATTGGGCAGGGATGATCTGGGTGCAGCGATGCCCATGCTCTGCTGTGGGGATTTCCCAGGCTTCTGGGCTGTGCTGGTTGCCCCCTTACCCCTTTTTTGCTCCATGTGTCAGGGGGTTTGAAGCCTCCCTCAGGGGCACGGGGAGCCCTCTGGGCTCCTATGAGCATCCCACTGCCCCAGGGACAGGGCTCCTGTCATGTCCCAGCGCTCAGCGTGGGGGCCCTGGGCTCTCAAATGCTGCTCTCTGCAGAATATCCCAGGCATCATGGCTCGACTGTGGTGCAGAAATATCTAACACCAGCACCGGGACCAGCTCTGTGTGCCTCTGTGTCTTGGGGCCTTTCCAGCAATGTTGGGGACTTTTCCCAGCCAGCTCCCAGGAGATGGGTTGGGGCCAGGGGCTTGTGATACACAGCGGGGGTGAGACACACTGGTTCATTGCACACCTGTGTGGGGCAGCTGGCACGGCAGGAAGACCCAGAACCAGGGGTGCTGGTGCCCGGGGAGTGCCAGGACCACCAGGTATCCTTCGGCCACCTACATCCTTCATTGCTCCAGATCCCCACATGTATTCTTCCACCACCAACCCCCACCGCTGCCGGGATCCCCACAGGTGCCCAGAAGGGCACTCACCTGTGTGCAAACCCCGGACTTTAGAGCTGTCCTGGGGACAAATATTTGCATTGGCTAGTGGGGGAAGGGAGGGAGGTGGAAGGGGACTGTGCCCCAGGCAGAGAGAGTGCCCCCCTCCCCCCCACTCCCCAAGCCTCCAGCAGGTAGCAGGAGCCTTGGACCTGGCAGACTGGGATGGCACCGACCCTGAGAGCAGGCAGGGGATGAAGGGGTTAATGCCAGGGCTGCTGAGATCTCCCCTCCAAGCACTGACCAGGGCTGCACTTGCTTTGCAGGGAGCTGATGATCTGGGGGGGAGTGCAGCACGGCAGTGCCAACCTCTGCAAAGGGGCCATGGCAGTCTCTTTCCAGAAACGTGCCAGGGATGGGGCTTCCACCCCAGAAGAGGCTGGAGCCCAGGGGGTGCGCCCGGTCCCAGGGCCACCGTGCTGGACCAAAGGCTCTGCTGTGGCCAGCACCGAGACTCCCTGCTGGCCTGGCACTGCTACCAGGCAGCACGGAAACCACGCCAGCCACCAGCTGGGTGCCCCAGTGTCCTGGGAGGCCCCTGCAAGGTCCAGACTAAGACATTTCTGATCCGGGCTGCATGCAATGGATGTGCTCATGAATGGGCT